ATCAATCAACGGGCATTTCCTATGTAACTGGTACTATTCTAAGTTCCCCAGACACAGAACGACCATATTTTCTTAAACCAAAATCAGAACATAGAGACTGGAAAAGGGGAAAGGTAGAGCTTACCATGCGTCAGGCCACACTCCAAGTCCTTTCATGTATTAATTAATTTGAATGCCATACAACCTATAAGATAGGTATACTATTACTGTTGCCATTTTATAAATGAGGATATTGAGCACACAGACATTCAGTAAGTTGCCCAAGATCACACTGGTAGTAAACAGAGTATGTGAACCCTGGAAATTGGACACTGAAGTCCAAGTACTAATGTTGGACATGGATTATAAAAATGCTTAAGTTAATATGAGAGTCTATATACTGGGTTGAATAGTGTTCTCCACAAATTCATGTCTACCTGGAATCTATGAAGGTGATCTTGTAAGATCTCTGCAGATGTAATCAAATTAAGATAAAGTCATACTGGATTAGGATGCACCCTAATCCAATGACTGGGGTCCTTGTAAGAAGAGGGAAATTTGGGCTCAGATACAGACGCAGGGAGAGCACCACTGACTACGGAGGCCCAGACTGGGGCGGTGTGTCTTTAAGGAAAGGAATGCCGAAGCTAGAAGAGGCATCTATCAGAGGAGTTCCGTGGGTGGCTAAATGGGTTAAGCGTCCAACTCTTGATTTCAGCTGAGGTCATATCTCATGGGTTGTGAGATCAAGTCCCGAGTCGGGCTCCTCATTGAGCGTGGAGCCTATTTAAGATTCTCTCTCCCTCTGCCCCTCCCCATCCCACTCACAAACGCTCTCTCTCTCTTAAAAATAAATACATACATAAATAAATAGAAATAAAAATAGAAGAGGCATCTACGAGAAGCCAGGCAGAGGCAAGAAAGGATCCTTCCCTGGAGCCTTCAGAGGATGGCCCTGCCAACACCTTGATTTTGGACTTCTAGTCTCCAGAACTGAGAGACATTAAATTTCTGTTGTTTAAAGCCATCCAAATTTCTGGTAATTGTTACAGCAGTCCTACGTCACTAAGAGAGTCTCTTACTACAAATAAGTAACTGGTATGGTGTCCTAAATATGATAAAACTATAAGTGCTTGTTCAATTAACCATCACACTGCATCATGATATAAAGAAAATGTTGAATGAGGAGGCAGGCTTTGTCACCTGCTACCTAAGAGACCCTTGGACATGGGTTTTCTTCTAGTTTTAAGTTTACAAAATTCTAACAGACACAGTCAAGAATCAAAGAGAGAATACAGAGATAATTAAAAAATAGGTAAGCATATTAAAAGTAGCCACTACAGAGTACCAAAGATATTAGAGAGAGAGGAAAAAGAGAGAGATAGAGAGAATGAATTAGTTTTCTAGGGCTGCTATAAAAAGAACCACATACTGGGGCTTAAGCCACAGAAATTTATCGTCTCATTAACTCTGGAGGCTAAAGTTGGAAATCAAGGTGTTGGCAGGACTGGTTCCTTCCAAGGGCTGTGAGGAAGAATCTGCTCCAGGCCCTTCTCCTTGGCTTATAGGAGGACTCCCTCATGTTCACATGGTGCTCCCTCAATATATGTCTCTGTGTCCAAGTTCCCCTTTTTACAAGGACACCCGTCATACTGGATTAGGACCCACACTAATGACCCCATTTTAACTTGATTGCCTCTGTAAAAATTCTATCTCCAAAAAATTTTTTAGATCCTATCTCAAAAAAAAAAAAAAATTCTCCAGTTATCATTTCCTCTTTGGAGAACACTTGAAATGATATAGTTATATTTCAGGATGAACAATAAAAATTTGAAATATAATTATTAAAAAAAAACCTCCTTCACAGTATCAGTAAAAAGCCCTGTCAATTCATTCAACAAGTATTTATTGCCCACATTGTATATTTTACTAGGTATTGAGAATAAACTATTGAATGGAGAAGAAAAAAAAATCCTATCTTCTAATAAGGTCTTATTCGGAGGTACACGTGAATTTTAGGGGTACACAATTCATCCATATGATGGAGAGAAGAGAGGAGAGGAATATCTTCTTCTGAGGTACCACGCCCAGAGCTAGGCTTTTTTGTCAGATGATTCTGTGGGCTGTGAGAAACATGTACTGTGGAAAGTGATACTCCAGGTTCCTGAAATTTAGGCTTTAACAGGCACAGGATGGGGAGAAATGGTCCAAGAAATTAGGGATAATTCTAATGTTTAACACTCTCTTTACAAAATAATATTAGATATTAGAGATGTCCATTTTCCTGCTCTGTTTTCATGATTTCTAAATAAACTTAAATAGATATGTGCCCACCTGCATCGGCACCCACATACACATGCACACTCTTCCATGGAGAGTAAACACTGGGACTTCTATGTATGCTCAGCCTGTACCTCTGGGCCCTGGTGGGACCTTACCCTCTTGACCCGAGGCAGCTACTTCATTCATAGGGGTGTATGAATTGGTTAAGGAGAGTTTAAGAGCCATGGACACTATTCTCTGTTGAATGAATTTCCATAATTCTGTCTGAAAAATGTGTTGCTGCTTATTTATATGGTCCTCACTTTGTCCCCTCTGGCTCTTCATAGAAAAACGAGCTCCCACCCCTTCTAGAGCATGCAAAGATGACGTTCATGTCAGAAAGCAAAAAAGCTCTCAATTTCTCTCCTCCGCATCAATCAACATCCCACAGTCTCACCAACAAAGTAATTTAATTCCTTGCTATCTTCTTTTAAGCTCTTGGCTGGCCCGGCAGCAACAATTCTCAAGGAGGACTGTCACATTCCAAGTGGCCAACTGTGTACCTGGCCTGAGATCTTCTTTAACAAGCTTAATTCAACCAATGACTTTAACCAGATCAGAAAACTGTCACTCGTTTTTGGGGTTATCAAGTCACTTAATGCTCTGTATTTTATATTTTTTCCAAATCCAAAGTCTTTTTGGAAGCTACTTAATTAAATTAAAGGAGATTTTGCAGTAAATTTAAAGTAAATTAATTTTTGTCATTAAAGTAAATTTTGGTAAGATTTACTGTGTGAGGTCAAGTTACATCAGCTTTTTTTAGCCAGTTGCTGATGGCTAACTGAGAAATAATCTAACAGATACTGCCACTGTGTTTACAATAATTAGGAATCACAAGGGTACCAATTCTTATAAAAGGTTTTCAAATTCTGGGAGTCTTCACTTCTTAGAGACATGGGATTAGTTTCATAAGCTCAGGGCCATTTTTTTTTCTTTCTATGTATGAAATGCAACCCAACTCCATTCCATTATTCCTCAATTCATAGTGTTGCAGAAGTTCACTTGCAAGCACATACTTTGGCACAAGGGACTCTTTTCCCTGGAGCAATCCTGTTATACCCAGTAACAGATGCCACCTGAGCCAGCCTCCAGCTAGACACCATGCATATTTTGCTAGATTTAATTTTCACAATTATTTGGCAAGGCAGGCATTAACAGGCCACAGTCTTTTACCTTAAAACCTGTTTCAGTTTTCAGCATATTTTTAATTTAGAAAATAATACGGTATGGATAGTACATATTACAGAAAACCCCTAGTGGGGTCTAGGGCAGGCTCGGTTGCCAAACAGATGAATATTTCTACATCAAAGCGTACTGATTTTCACATCAAGATCGGGGCATGGGGACTCTATAAACAGCCTCATGTTAATTCAGGTAAGATTTTACTGTGTGAGGTCAAGTTAGATCAGGTTTTTTTTTTTTTTTTTAACTGGCTCCCTGAATTCTGTAGATTTCCTCATTGGGGCTAAGGGCATGTGGGGCTGTATTCTCACGTTCTAGGAGAAATGGGCCAATGAGAGCCAAGTCGCTCAGCCGAGGGAGGTGGGATCCAAATCCAGGTCTCTCCAGCGGCAAGCCCTGCCCTCTTCGTCACAGCCTACAGCCTCACAAGGGAAGGATGCTTATGTCATCCCCTAAACCAGCTAAACCATAGCAATGACAGCAGGCCACAGACTCTCACCACAGAGAAAAACGGCATTCTTAGGAGAAACATCTATCCAGCGTCCACACCGACACTTCCCAACTTGCCCCCCGTCTTCCCAAGTCAAGGAAAGAGCTGATCCAGCACGCGAGGCAGTAGCAAGGGAACTCTGCCGGCTCTGAGGCTCAGGGGCGCGCCAAGCAGGGCAGAGGCCTGAAGATGTTAAGGGAAAGGTGGAAGATCAGCGTCTGAAGGCAGCAGTGGGGAGCAGGGCTTTAACGGACCCGGGAGAAGTGACAGTATGAGGTAGTGATGTCCGAGGGTAAGGAGAGGGGCTAAGGACTCAAGAAGGAAGGGCCAGTGTGCACTGGAGGGAAGTGAGAAACTGCAGGAAACAAGGGTCTGTTTGCTCTCGTCTTCCCTTCACAAATGAAAACCAGCATTAGGAGGAGGGGAGCAATGGGAGCATGATGGCTTTCTTTGCTCTTTCCACTCTTCCTGCCCTTTCTGTCCAGCCAACTGGCCTCCCCCAGTGCCGTCAAGCACTGGAGGGGAGTGAGCACCCACAGGGTCCCGCTCTGCCCTGGGCATCATGGCAGCACTTCACTTGGATCTGACTCAGCCCTAAACAACCCTTCAAGGTTTCACAGATAGGCAACAGACTCAGAGAGGAGAATATGCCAAAGGTCAGAGCTACGAAGTGGTGAGGGCCAACGTTCTTTCCAAGGACCAGAAACGGGTGGGCAGGTGCGGGGTTGGCGGGGGGTGGGGGGGGGGGGGGGTGAGGAGAGCAAGGCAACAGGAAATCCAGGGGGCTCTGAGTCAAGATCTGTACCAGGCATTATGGCATCAAGGGAAATGGGGAAATTGGAGGGAAGAAAAGTTTCTATTAGCCACGAGAAATTCCTGCAGCAGCCAGGAGGTAAAAAACAGACACAAACCAGAAAGTAGTATGTTAGAGACAGCGTGTCATGATCATCTAAGTCGACTAAAACACTGAGGAACCATATAAATTCCATCACAATACATTAAAAAGCAACGTATCATATATACTTACTTCCCAAAGTTCATAAAGTTCCTTTCTGAGATCCTCTGGGAGGAGCTGGGTTAGCTGTTTCATAGCTTCCTGAAATATGAAACAATTATTTTAATCATGATCACATTTATCTAGTTAACAACTCAACTACAAAAGCCGAATAATGGGCTCAAACTCTCAAAAATAGCTCCCCAAAGGGCAGCGGAATATTGGGCAATATTTATGGCTTACAAGGAGGGCAGCTGTGCACATTAGAGAAACGTGTGTATTTATTCATATGGGCTTCGCTGAGCATATGTTTTGTGGTCTGCAGCACACCAGACACCAAAAGGACAAGGAGGGGGGTGTGAGATGGTTACAGAAATATCAGAAGTGAGGCCAAGGATTTTACATCTTAAGGATGAACCGCAGGATGCCCACGTAAATTGCAAACATAAACATACTAAAGTTCAAAACAAACCTGAGAACAAGAACAGGAAAGTAACACTGAATTACAAAGCTCAAAGAAATTGTATACTATTATATTCATTGTCTGTTGTTAATATCTTTATTGCATAACACAAAGCACTACACAAACAGGCAGTTATTGTCATTAACATAAAGGAAATGACACAGGAGTATTTTGTAGGCTCACACATAGGCTGAAAGGGGATATTAAGAGATAATTAGCAGGATGCCTGGGTGGCTCAATCAGTTAAGCATCTGCCTTCAGCTCAGGTTATGATCCCAGGGTCCTGGGATCGAGTTCTGCATTGGGCTCCCTGCTCGGCGGGGAGCATGCTTCTCCCTCTCCCTCTGCCTGCCGCTCCCCCTGCTTGTGCTCTTTCTCGCTCCTTCTCGCTCTTTCTGACAAATTAAAAAAAAAAAAATTATTAGCCACACCATGCAGGTAGTATCTGAACCATTCAACAGCATCCCTGACCACTTCTTGCCCTCCCTCTGTGAACATGTCCAGGGGTGGGAATCTAGCACCTCAGGAAGCTCCTAAACGGGCTTTAGGCAGCTCTGACAGAAAATACTTTCTTATATCAAGCTGAAAACTGTCCGTGCAGGTCTCCCACTATGCCTAACTCCAGCCCTCCAGCGTGCCTCCCCCACTCACAAACACAGTGTCAAGTAGGTAGGCAGTGACCCAGCTCGGCCAGAATCTCTGGGGCCACGGGGACTGGTCCACGGGAAGGCCACGTAACTCAAACCAGCCACTTGAGGGACATCTGCATGATTTGTCCAACAGAGGCAAGGAAAAAAAATGTTACAGAATACAACCACTTCCAGAGCAAACCGTATTTGCCAGTGTCTACGACTGGCTCCCAAAAGTAACATCACCATCTCCAATGGTTTGTAGCAACACACTACCCTTAGTGGGATCAAATTTACGGTATTTTGTGTCTGCCTTCTCCCTTGTTTCTTTTTCATAAATTGCAGTAAAATGCTTGAGAAAACCTTTGCATTTTCAAAAATTAAAGGTGTCTTTATAAATAGATCGCCTTTCTCTACATTATTCCCAAAACACAAGTCTGTCCATTGCTTTTGTTTGAAAAGAATGAACCAAATAATATGTATTTACAGGTATATAAAAACCTAAACTTTTAGATCATCTTATTCCCTTTCGGATGATGCTCCCAGTATGGAACACAGTGACTGACATGTGGTCTGACCATGGCGGGGGAGGATGGAAACACCGCCTCCATCATGCAAAGGTAGCCTAACACTGAAACCAGCTTTCTGGAGATCACATCCCATCACTGATGTGTATTGATAAACTGCCTGTTGATTAAAACCATCCTGTCCTTTAAAAAAACCAAAACCACGGCACCTGGGTGGCTCAGTCATAAGCGTCTGCCTTCGGCTCAGGTCATGATCCCAGGGTCCTGGGATCGAGCCCCGCGTCGGGCTCCCTGCTCAGCAGGAAGCCTGCTTCTCCCTCTCCCACTCCCCCTGCTTGTGTTCCCTCTCTCACTGTGTCTCTCTCTGTCAAATAAATAAATAAAATCTTAAAAAAAAAAACAGTAACAAATATGTTGCTGCTCTCTTCTTGAAAATTTAACAACAATTTTCTGGATCTATACTCCTTGATATCATTTGTTATTATACAATCAGATTGCACTTTGAGACCTCCGAGGTAGTCGATACTCCTTGTTTGACAACATGTGCCACAGAAATTATGCCTACCTTTTTAAATGAACCCTCCGAAAATGACTTCGCTAAACTCCGGGGTAGCTGGCTGCGTATGCCAGACTTGCCCTCCCCGTGGTGAGCTCTGCCACTCCCACGTCTAGACGGAGTTTCGCCTTGTCCACACACAGATTTAGGGTGATAATTTTCCTAGCTTCTTCCCATTAGCAAAGCAGGACAAGAATCTGCCGAAAGTCCTGAGCTGAATAAGCTTTCAGCAAACGTCTTGGGTCAGTTTTGCATCAAGCACGCAGAAAGCATCCCGCTTCCTTCAGACATCATTGGTGGGGCTAAGCAGCGAAGGAGTTAACTGCAAACTATAGATTCAAATGGGGTCTGGGACCTGACTCGCCTATGACTGGCTGCGGAACCCTGAGCAAGGTATTTCACCTCTTCGTCCTTCAGGTTTCACATCTGTAAAATGGGGTGAATAATGGCATGCATCTACCTAAAGGGCGGTCTCAAGGATGAAACAAGTAGTACAGATAACGCTTGTGGTATCTGGCACATAATCAGCACTCTATAAAATGTTCACTGTATTTTTCAGTTTCTCTATTTTGCCATGTTCACTCCCATAATAAAGCTTGGTTCTTCTCCTTTTAATCTCTTGGTTCCTCAGCAACTTTTAGCAACTTTAACCCTGGCAGATACATACCTACCATGCTTCTGCCTTCTGACCATGTTTCTCTCTTCCACAAGCAATGTAACCTGCTATTGCTGTATTCCAGCCTCAAGTTCCATCCTGTGGGCTCCTGATGATCCCCATGAGGCATCATTCACCAACTCGGGTTATAGTATAAAGTCTGTTTTATCTTGTTTAGGAAGGGGATCAGACAACAAGTATTGCTTTTGGCCCTTAAGTTTTTCTTCCATGTCCTCATTTCCCCTTTCATCTTAATACCTGCTCCCCTCCCAAACAATCAGCCTTCCAAGTTCACCAAGTATTTTCCCTCCCTCCTACTTCAGTTTAAGTCTTCCTGATGCAGTTGGCTAGCCTCTGGGCAAATCATGCTGCCTGATTCTCATTATGTGCATTCCACCTTGAGCCAAGAAATCCTCATTTAATTATCTTAATGCATGGTTCAGACATCCAAATCTTGTTCATAAACACCATCTGCATAAAGAATTGTTCACCTTCCAGATCTTTCTCTCTGTTCCCAAATCCTAACCAGCAGCAGGAAGAGGCAATGGACTACCAGCCCTCTTCCAAGCCTTTGGTTTCTTGTCTAAGAACCTCCGGTTCTTCAAGATGCTTTCCCCATCCTTCCTGATCCTGGCCCTGAGTCCCCTGGGAAACACAGGAGTGGGTAGTGGCCAGGAGGTTTAACACGGCCGGAAAAATCCCCATCATTGCCAGGACAGGGCGTCCAGGAGGGCAGAGACACTCTCTCTGTTCATGCCCCACCAGGCCCCTCCGCGAGGTGTCACCGGCCAGGCCTCACTCCTGTCAAAACAGTAGCCGGTCTTCTCTCATCTCCAGTGGCTGGAGAACCTGCCCATGACTTTTCTTCTCCAAAAGACTCTGACTTGCTCCTCTGTGGAGGAAGCCTCAAATTCATTATGTACCTTCACGGGGACAGTTTGTCTTTTCTCCCTGCTCTGTGTCACTTTACGGTCTCTGAGGATCCTCTGGTACTTCAATATACCATTCCTCCTTCACAATGTCCAGACTGACCCTTGAATAAAACTACCCTGCATCCTGAAATGAGCTGTATCATCAGGGCGTCTTTTTCCCCATCCCTTTCCTCTATGTCCAGTCATGGCTCGACATCCTTGGGTTCAGGGCTAATCCTTTCTGCCACTCGGTATCTTGAACTAATTGGTTTCTTTTCATATTAATTCTGCCAATCAATCCAGGAACTCTTTATTCACAACAGTCTAGACTCCTATAGAGAAACAATGTCTCAGCCTTCTCCCTTTTTATAGGCTGTCATGATGCTGAGCCTATATTCTGGATCTGTATTTTGGCAGGAAGAACACATTCTTTACACAATTTTCCTTGTTCCCATAATGTCGGAATTCCTAAATTGGTATTCCATGTGGGGCTTCTTGCCTCTGGGGGGATAAAAATACTGCTGGCTACTGAACTCCAGTCTCCCCCAGCTCTGAGAACAGCTATTCAAGCCCACCTGCCCTGTTAAAGCATTTTGATGAAGGATCCATCCACTTAGCAATTTAGGACCAATCTCCTATAATAAAAGTAGCTTGCAATAATCCCCGAATTGGAACCAGCTATTCAACATTAAAAAAACAAAAACAAAACAAAACAAAAACAAAAACACAAAACCTTCCTGGATTTTCCAATCTCTGCCTCAAATATGTCTTTCTCCTTGGCCCTGGGCTCTGGATTTAGAGCCCAAATTGATACCGATTTAATATTTTTTTGATGTTCATTTCTTACTATTACAAATATTTTTTGTTACTTCTAACCAATAAATTAAAGGACTAATTGAAAATTCACAAGTAATTATAATAATGATTAGACTTGTGATTTACAGAACTTTCTTCCAAAGAGCTTAACCAGGATGAGAATTCCTTCCAGTTCTAGCTACTTCCCTCGTTCTAATGAAAGCCATACTATCTATGTCCACCTACTAATGAGAACAGAAACCCAACAGTTTCCTGTCCCTGTGTTAGACAAGGCTGGGAGCAGGCATACACTCCTGATCTCGCGTTAAACAAGGTTGAGAACAACCACCAGTGTGCTGCTTACTCCAGGAAGACATCCTTGCTTCTGGAAGTTAAGACCATCAACCACCCAAGTACAGTAAGCACTAACAGCTTACTCCTCAAGACTCTCGTTAAGACTCTGCCTCACCAGCCCTGCCAATCCAAGGTTTTTCTGTCCTACACTCTGTGCAATCTAAGCAGCGGTGCGTCTCATAAGATCCATCTAACCATCCTCCAGTCCAGGCCCTCAAACTCTATAAATATCCTCTCCAGATTTCCCCTGCCTGAGACACTGCTCAGACTCTGCCAAGGTGCTCTCCCTTACCACCACGGGTCCAATAAACTTAGCTTTGCTTCAGCAACAGGTGTCTCTGGTGGAGTCAAGAGTTAACACTGACCTCTTCTCGCCTATGTTTTTCTTCTTTGGGGATGTTATCTGCTGGTGCTATGTCCCCAACGATGCATTCTGCCATATCGTGAACCAGGGCTAGGCGTACACATCTGACCAGGTGAGAAATGGTGAATAACGACACAAAATTAGATTCACTGTAAGTTCCTTCTCTACACTATTTTGAAGATGCATTTTTTTTTCTCTACCCTCACAGGGTATGTCAATGCAGTATTTTCTAAAGTAATTATATTCTACTAGCCCACAACAGTTCTGATTCAAAACTTCTAGTGAATACTCAACACAAGAATACATGCATGCAGGGGAAACTGTTAGCATGGATTTTTTTTTTTTTTTTAAATGGCTGGTTGTTCAAATATCACTTGAAAAGGTTGATAACTTCAGATGACAAAGCCAGGAGGAGATGATCCGGTTATAGCATTTACTTACTGATAAAAAATTCAGAAACAATCATTTCCCCAATATACTGGTTAGATGTCAAAAATGAGCCCCTTATGGAGAAATGGGTGGAGTAGGACAGATCTGGGTCCAAATCCAGCAACCATTTATTAGCTGTGGGACCTTTGCCAAGTTACTTAATTTCTTTAAATGCTCGATTCTGTCAGCCTTCATTTTATCATCTGTAAAAAAGGGACAGTAATACATCATAAGGTTGGTATAAAAACTAAATTTGATCATGTGTGTTCCTGGCACATGTTGATCATTAAGGAAATGGCCACGATTATTAGCAATGATGATTAGTGATGAGGATAATCACTGTCAAAATAATGGAGGCAGGTCATGATAGAAACGCCCCTGAGGGCCAGCCTGTTTCACGTGCCTACTATTTCCAGGGCAGCGCAAGGCCCAGCAACCTCCTCACACGTGCCCCACCTGCAGCCTGTCTCTGTCACCCAGTTCAAACCTCCAACTACTCTTAGGTTTGTTGTCTCTATTCCACACCACGTTTGTCTTGTACTTTTTGCCAAAAATCCCACTTCCACACCATCTACAAAGTAACAGGGCTCCTCAACTCTAATGAACCTTTGCTACAAATTGATCTACTTATCATTTCCATAAAGACTTTCACTTCCTACCATCGGGGCTTTGGTCATACCCTCCTCTCCGCACACTGGGCCTTCCACTTCTCTACCCGGTCAACTCCTCAGATTCATTCCACCCTCCTCCATTAAGATCACCCAAGAACACGTGATCTCTTCTATTAGAATACCTTGCTAGTTTTTCCTTAAACTTTTTATGTATTTATTTTTAAAGTAATCCCTAAGCCCAGCGTGGGGCTCAAACTCATGACCCCAAGATCAAGAGTCATGTGCTGTACCGGCTGAGCCAGCCAGGTGCCCCAACCTTGCTAATTTTTGAATATAACTAATTTGGGGCTTTTTATAGAAGCCAGTTGGGACCTGTGTCATCCATGGGAGACATACTGTCTTAATATTGTTCGGAAACTTTGTCCTGTGCTCAAAAAGCATTTTAGACACTTACTGACTGAAGGAGAAGATATCTCTTTCTCAGCTACATCTTGCAAATACCCCTCCAAAAAGTCACCCCACAAACGGGTGCTAGTATTCATGAAGGGGCTAGATTAAAGCACACGGCATCCTAATACAATGAGAATTTTACACATACCACACCTCACTGTCAAGACCCTGGAAATCCTAATATCACACTTATGTCTTCTTGAGACCACGGCAAGCTCTATCACTTTCCAAGAGAAAACCCAGAATGCAGTTTACAATTGAAGAAATCACACACGAAATTCCCCTTCCTACAGCCTGAACCTGTATGGTCTGCCGCAAATAATTTCTCTTGACAGATCAACTAACCTGCAAGAATTAGATACAGGCGTCAGTCATGAGAAGCGGTGCATACCCACAGGCCAGAGATGCTAACAAGCATCAGAGTTCACATCGGCTTACCGGTCTTTGTTAAGATGTTCGTCTTTGGTGACCAGAGCCATAACTGCCATCCTGTACATGTGATCTGATACACTCTCTGGCCTCTCAACATTTCTGTATACCCAGCCAGTCCGGGGGACTCTCTGATGAAAATGAAGAAGAGAAAGAAGCTTATAAAAATAAATATTTAAACTATCTGCAATGCTCTTCAAGGGAAGTCCAAGAAATAGGGTATAGAAGCAGGGTCATGGTTTCAGAAAGTGTTAAAAAAAAAAATGCTTAACTAACCAAGTGATCAACATCTGGAATCAAATAAACCAGTGGGGTCAGAGAATAAGAAAGAGGGAGAAATAATTTACAAGTATACAACGCAAGAGTCCAACAGTCAAGTTACTCTGCATTACTAAGGTGTAAATTATGGAACATATACGAGTCCTTTAGACATAAAGATAAAACTGTAATGTATTGTGTTTTTCCTAACTACAAGAGTTGGGACTTTTTGCCTTCAAACAACCCCATTCAACACGTGCAGAAAACACTGGTGAAAGCTCTGAGCTTGAACAAGTGATAGACTTCCCAATTTGGAAGCAGAAAGGAGGAAGGCATTTCTAGTTGCTCCTGCTACCACCAGTCATAATTCTGCCTTCTGTTCAGATCAGGATGTGATCTTGAGAGACTGCATCTTTTCCCCAGGAGTCTGCATTTCTAAAGAATTGTATAAACAGTTGCAATGCAGCAGGACACAGATAATCTGCTTTTAACTTGTAGAAATTCTGCAGAATCACCAATTATGGGTAGAGGAGGCCAGAACGGAAAGGGAGGCCGCACAGGATACAACTCCAGTGGGCACTATATAAAATCTTCTGTTAAAAAAAAAAGTCTTGTTATTTCTAGAAGTACCTAAGAGGCAGATTTAAAGCACCCCACTTAAAATCTGCCGGACTGACGGATTCTGCTCTTCCCGCCCGCTGCTCAGAGGCCCAGCAGAGGGGTTGTGAGCCCCATGTGTACTCTGGGCAGAAGCAGGCCAGCACGGAGGGTCCCACACATCACCGCGCCGGCTGCTCTCCAGAAACCTCGCGAATGGCTGCCCAGGCCGGCCCCCGGCCTCGCACCAGGCTCACCTCCCCACACAGGATTCTCGGCGGTTCAGGCTCTACGGAGCCTGGGGTGGGCCCGACAGCCCCGCCGCGCTTCCTCCGCCCACCGTGCATTCGCACCCCCGCGTCCTGGGGAGCTTCTGGGCCCACCCCTGCGAGGCGGGGAGGTCAGAGGGAGGGAGGGCGAAGGCCCCAGACGCCGCGAGCTGGAGCTCCGGGGCGCCGCAGCCACCCCCGCCTCTCCCCGCGCGCCGCCCGCCGGGCCCCAAACGGCCCGGCCCGGCGCCCGCTCACCTTGAGCTGCCCCACCAGCCGCAGGAACTGCAGCAGGTTCCGGGCCGCAGAAGACACCGAAGCCATGCCGCCACGGGTCCCGCAGGTCGGAGCAGGCCACGCGGCCGCCTCCTAAAGCTCCTCCCCCTCCTCCGCCTCCTTTCTCCCCCCCCCCCGCACCCTCTCCTCCGCTTCCTCCCACTCCTCCCTCCACTCCTCCCTCCTCCTCTTCCTCCTCCTCCCTCCCGATCCTTCTCTTTCCCTCCAGACTCCTAACCCTCCCTCCCTCCTCCTCCGCTTCCTCACCGGGTTTTCCCAGACCCTTGTGGAAAAGAAGTGTTCCACCTTCCTGGCCTTGGTGGCTGCCCCCCCAGGCATTGCACCGTCCCTGGCCGACCGAGCGTTTGGTTTGTTTGCTAATCTCCGCTTGTTTGCTAATCTCCACTCAACTGAACGCCGTCAAACTTTTAACGGGATTGCAGTTGGGTAGGGGAAAGGCGGAGGGTGGTGTGCCTTTGGAGGAGGGGGAGGGTTCTGCAGGATTGGCCGAAAATCTTGCCTTTGAGCGACTCGGCGTCTGATTGGGGGAAGAAATAAAGAACTCTCCTTCAAGGTGGGCAGTCTATGTACATTTTAACCGAGGCACAAGGAAAGGAATTTAGGAGAGACAAAAGCACTGGGAGAATTTGGGACTAGCCATAAAGGGCTCCGGAGTGAAAGCAATCCCATGGTGTAATCACAGTCTCCCTAACATCTCAAGCGCTGAAGAAACCCCTTACTCCAAAAAGCTGGTCAGGGTCTGTCTCAACCATCTGTCTTCATTAAATCATCTTCTCCTTCTTCTTCTTCTTCTTCTTCTTCTTCTTCTTTAAACATATAATGTATTATTTGTTTCAGAAGTATAGGTCTGTGATTCAACAGTCTTACACAGTATACGCAAACAATGAATCATGGAACACTACATCAAAAACTAATGATGTAAGGCATGGTGATTAACATAACATAATAAAATAAATAAAAATAAAAAAAATAACAACCAAAGTCACCAGTTTTTTAAAAGCATTTAGCGGACATGCATACAGAAGGACTCAGGGAGAGAGGGTAATGTTGAGAATAGACTCTGTGGGGCAGGGAGGAAGGAGGGAGATCATTTAGGAGACTATTGAAATGATTCTCTGGGGAGATGATTCGGGTTCGGTGCAGAGTGGTAGTAGTGCAGGTGGTGAGCGGTTGTTAATTTTGTATTCACCTTGAAGGTAGGACTAAAAAGAGTGGTGACAGATGGAACATGGAGTATGAAAAGAAAAGGATGACTCCCCAAAATTGGGCCTCACTGGAAGGATGGAGTTGCTATTGAGTGAGCTGGAGAAATTGCAAGAAGAGTGAGTTGTGGGGAACCGGAAGTTTGGTGATTGGGGTCACCCAACACTCAGAGCTGGAGGTAGGAAGACGACGAAGGGATGTTTGTGTTCGAGGAGCCAAATGAAGAAAATACTTCAAGAAGGAGGGAATGCAGTTGTTGTGTGTTAGTTTGTTACGATTTTCAAATCAACTTGTTTATAACAAAAAGGAAATTGTTTTTAAGAGTAAAGTTGTTTTGATCAAGAATGAAATAAGTTGTGACAGGATACTGTCATCTCTTCTGTTGTTGTTTATAAGCACTCGGGAGCTTAGCTGCCGAGGGGCTGCACTGGGGGCTTATCAGTAAAAACCCACCAAGAAGCAACTATGGCAAGTGCACATTTAGACTATAAATACCGGGAGTTTGTAAGGACTATCGGAGAGTGGTCTGAGCAAGCTGATTCTCTTTGCTAATCTCAATAGCTCTGACCTTGGGGCAATTAACTCCTGCTGCTCTAAAGACAATTCTGACCTTCAGTGACAAAAGCCATTCAGTAGCAAAACCGAAGCAGGAGCAGACCAAGGAGATCTTTTTGCCCATCAACAGGGCCACCATCGTTCCCTAGCAACATGCTTTAGCAACAGGGGACATCAGCGGTTGGTTGGCTAACCCAGCTCTCCTGAGTAGCAACTGGTATAAAGGTACACTTCAACTAAATTTGGGCTTTATTTCCTTCATCTTCCCTGGCCTGGAACAATAGTGTGATTAATTTATCGTTGTTTTGGAGGATGTTATTTCTTTATTGGGTATTAAGAGATATTACCCTATATGCTATGGGTTTATGAAATTCCTGCAGTGAACCTGTGATAAATAAATAGCTGGCACAGACAAACTCAACTCTGAGGATTAATTTACCTCCCCCAAAAAACAGTGGTCAACCAAGTCAATGTTATGTTGGATAGGATTGAGATTTGATTACTGGATTTAGCAAATTCGGTGTCATTCGTGGTGGTGACAAGAGCAGTTTCAATGTAGAGGGGCAAGCAGAATCCTAACTGGAGATCGTTCCAGAGAAAACAGGAGTGAGTATTGCGACTCATTTCAAATAGAGTTGGGCCACTAGAGAAGAGGTGTTTTTACTGTTGTTGTTTTTTGTTTTGTTTTGTTTTTAATATCTTCTTTAAGATATTATAGTATGTTTATTTACTGATAGAGGTAATCTAGTAGTGAGTGAAAAATTGATGATGTAAGAGACAAAAGAGATAAATGCTGGAATGGTGGCCTTGAGCAGATAAAAGAGGATGCAATCCAGTGTACAAGTTGAAAGATTAATTTTGGGAATATGGAGAATTCATCCATAGTACAGGAGGAAAGAAAATATATAGTGACTAATTAATGGCAGATGTGGTCGCAGGAGATTGTAGGGTTCTCTTCTGATTGCTTCTGTTTTTCTCACTGAAATAGGAAGCAAAGTCTAGACTAGGTTATGTTGTAGTAACAAGCAGCCTCTGTATTGTAGCAGTTTATCACATCAAAGGCTTGTTTCCCCTTGCTAGATGTCTACTGCTGATCAGCGCAGGGATGCTGCTGTAACTCACCAGGAAGCTAGGGGGAGCTCTGTGCTCCTCGGTGGGGGAGGGGTGGGGAGGCATCTGCCTCCTAAATAGCCTGTCCTTGGAAGTGATATACCACCCTTCTACATATCATTGGCCAAAAGAAGCACTATCACCATATCTAACTTTAAAGTGGGGCTATGGAGTGCAATCTTACCACGTTTCCAGAAGGAAAGGAAACCACCACGGTATTTGTGAATGGAGAAGGGGGGATTGGATGGTTATGGAGAGTGAAGGTATAAAATAATTGTTTTGGAGAGTGGGACAACAGGAGAAAATATGACTAAGCACCAAATGAATGCCAAGGACAGTGGGGCATGTATTAAAAATGGTTAGGATGATGGACTAGAAGCCATTTTTATGGTGTTAGGTGGTGCTAAATGAAGGAAGTATCAGAGACCAAGTAGTCAGGTCCCCTGGAGGAAAACAAAAACCAACAAAATGTTCAGTGGAATAAGAAAGATGTGGACTTTTGATTTGCAGAAGGATATAACAGGGAACATTCTAGAGATGGAACTGCAAGCCAGATGGTGAATGTGTGGTGCAACCTGTAGTGTTTCTTTCTGAGTGGCCTTGTCCCCTTCTTTCACCAACGGTGCCTTGATTTCCTCATGTATGCAAGTTTTATTTAGTCTTCATGGGTAGCTCTACTTGTATTTGCAACTTGCTTTACAAAATACATGTGAGTTCTCTTTCCTTTGTGTAGTGAGCTGTAAAGAATTTCTTCAGTTGCCTAAGTTATCAGGAGTTAAAAGACATTAAGTCAATGAGGAATTATGAATTGTGTAGATGTAGTTTCTGAGAGTCCCAATTGAGATGATAATGATTTTTGAAGGGATTTTATTATCCAATAATAAGTTGTTATGACAATTCAAACAATACTGTCAACTGTTGCTTTTCTAAACTCCAAAGATGGATCAGGACTTGTAACAGGGCTTATTCCTTGCTTGTCATCAAAAATACCAAGAAAGTGACTATACAGTACATAGAATAATGGCCTCCCAAGGATGTCTGTTTGCTAATCTCCAGAGCCTGTGAATATGTTGTATTACGTGGCAAAGGGGACTGCAACAGACGGAATTCAGTTTGCTAATCAGCTAGATTTAAAATAGGGAGATTATATTGGATTATCTAGATGGGCCAAATGTAATCACCAGGGTCCTTGAACGTGGAAGGGGGAGACAGAAGATTAAGTATGAGAGGGATGCCATATGAGAAAGATTCAGCTGGCCATTGCTGGCTTTGAAGATGGAGAGAGGTCATGAGCCAAGGAACACGGGCAATCTCCACAAGGTAGAAGAGGCAAGAAAATTAGGTTTTCCTCTCAAACCTCCAGAAAAGAATGCAGCCTGGCCAACACCTTTATGTTAGCCCCGTGAGACCTGCTTTAGACTTCTGACCTCCAGAGCTGCTAGATAATACATTTGTGTTGGATCAAGAGTGTTCTAAGTTTGTGGTAATGTGTTATAGCAGCAATAGGAAACTAATAGAGTAACTAATCATACTGGATGACCTTGACCCCTTTTTACCAATTACCCTTTTGCACTTTTTTAGCGGGGGGGGGGGAAGAGGAATCAATTTGTCTCTGCAGAAGGGTTGCCCATTTTAAGCAATGGGCGAGGAAAACTCTTCAGCACCATTTACTCCAGTCCGTTAGAAGAAAAGATGAAATTAGTAGGCTCTTGCCAGAGGGACTCTTCCGTTGGGGCTCACTATGCACTTCAGGTGAATCTGTGACTATCCTGAAATTGTCTACAAATTGGGTTACTTCTGAGGATTTTTCTGTGGATCAGATCCTTAAAGAGATCTGAGACCAGAATGAGAAAGTTGCTTTGGTGCGCAGCAGTACGTGATGCTTTGGTCTTGGTGTTATAGTAAAAAAAAAGCTGCAGTGGGTCATGCCTCTGCTAGCAACCTGTATTGTCACAGAGTTCACCTCATCTTAATCCTCCCAACCTCCCTCCGAGATATTAATATTCCCGCATTTCAGGTAAGAAAACCATTTTGCCCAGAAGCTGAAGAACTGGCCTAATTGTTTTGTAGCCAGGAAACCGTGGTGACAGAATTGTAGCTCTGGACTGTCTGCTTCCAGGTCTTTCTTCCTGGGACATCCTGCTGCTCCCCAGCCAGCTGGCTATTAGTACTGGCTTCCTATCGTTGT